AGCTCCCCAGGTAGAAACCCCTTACCCAGGTAAGTGATGCAAGTCACGTAAGCAGAGGGAGCAGGTTTCCCCCTCCCTCAGGAATGCAGCCAGCTCAAGTTCCCTAAAGAGACAGGCTGAGGGTGTGGTCCCCTGTGTGCTGGGCCCATCCTAATTGAATGGTCACAGCACAGACATTTAAATCACAGTGTCACAGGGCAGAGATTTTTGGGGAGAAACCAAGGTGGCTTTCTGCCACAATCATCACTCAAGTTTTAAGTGTTCTTAATATGTTCTAATTGCAATGCGTAATCTTACCTTCAGAGTGCAGCTCTTTAGTGGCTCCTTCTGTCACTGTGCAGGGGAATATAGACACAGGTTAGGCTTGAATTTAGGGAAGAGTGGAAATACAGATCTGGGACAACTCATGTTGACCAGCCTATCCACTACAGATGGGACTGTTTGCTACAGTGTGGGGATGCTGTGGGAAGAAAAGAATATTCTCTCTAGACCAATGATGCTAACTAGCAGAGCTGTGCGAAACAGCACTGTTACATTTCACCTTGAGTTTTGATGGTTCAATGGAAGTGTTTCATCTTGTACTTCAAGTTGAAACAGCTGCTTTGTTTCGTTCCGTTGAAACAGACGGGCTGTTTCGACACTATTTCAGGTTTCGCTGGGGATGGGGAGTCGGCCCAACTGGGCTGACTCCCCATCCCCAGTGCTAGATCGTGCTGGGGGTGGGAGGCAGCCCAGCTTGGCTGCTTCCCTGTCCCCCATGCTGCATCACACTGGGGACAGGAGACAGCCCAGCTGGGCTGCTTCACTACCCCCTGCCGGATCTTGAGCTGGGGATGGGAAGTCAGTTCAGCTGGACTGACTTCCAGTCCCCAGCCTACGGTCAAAATGTTTCGACTTTCGAAATGTTTCGACCAGCCTTGTTTTGTTTCGAGGCTATCTTGACAGCCTTTGTTTTGTTCCAATTTTGCTGTTTTGACCTCGAAATTGGTCAAAACAGTGTCGGAATGAAATGGCCAGTGAAATTTCACACAGCCCTACTAATCAGGGATGTCACAAGCCACTTTTAGGGCTACTGTGGCCTATGCACCACTGCTGTGGCTAGGTGGAACTGCACTGTGTGACTCTTCCAGCACCAAATCAGGAAGCAGCTGTGGTAGGAGCTCCCACTTTAATGCAGCCCTTCCTGATTCGATACCACATGGTGTTTCCCATAAATGGAGGCATGTGAGGACTGTCAGAACACATGGTATTTGTACACACTTAACTTAAAAAACAAAACAATAAAAAACACAAAATGACAATAACAAAAAAAATCAGTGTTTATTATGGCAAGTCTTGTTCCTACTCAGATAGAGCAGGCCTTCTCAGAAAGTTCCCAACCTCTTACTTTCTATAAATCCAAAAGATGAAAAATGTGTTACATAATTTAGGACAAATCAGATCAATATGAATTAATTTAATTCAGTATTTTACCTTTACTCCATGCACAACAATTATATCCATAAACAGAAAAAGTAGAACAGTACTTTATTTTGCTCTCTAGTCTTCATTCCTGTCTGAATTAACTAATGTAAATTAGGAGTAATCCTGTTGCAGCTAATTGAACATTTCTACTGTAATCAAACTTGACTGGGGTTTTGTTGGCTTGCTTTTTTTTTTTTTTTTTTTAACGTGTGGACAAGACACAACAACTGCACTGCTGCTACTGTTGAATAAGGAATTATCTGGTAAGCTGAGGTAGTACAACAGTAGTTTTCAACAAGGGTGGTGTCTGCCAACTTATAAAAAAAAAAAAAAAAAGATGGAATGGTGCCCCGACTCTTAAGTGATTGAGAAACAGTGCTCTAAGACAGTGGAGCCAAGCCTTAAGCTTCCGGTGTTCTATGACTCCTTTTGCATTCCTTGCTGCAAAGAGTTTGGAACACAGCCACTCAGCCTGCATGTTGGTATCTGGATTTGGTTCCACTGACCTGTTTCTTATGCAACAAATGATGCATGCACAAAGTGGGTATAACATTCTGCCAGACCAGAAGAGTAATGTATTATAATAATCTAGCACTTTTTGCTCACATTGCAATACTTTGACCATGTAGGGTAGGGATCAACCCCTCCCCCCAGCACACACATTCATTTTTCTCGATATGCTGTGCTGCCCAGAGTCCAGGCTGGTTAGTCATGAGGTTCCACAGCCCTGGCACCAGTTCCATAGCTGCAGCAGCATACACCTCTGGGCACATGGCTGGGAAGGGGCATGGGGCTGTGCAACCCTGGCTCCTCTCCCAACACTAGCCCAGAGGCACGTGTGCAGCTGCTGCCATCAAAGAGCTGGTACCCGGGCTGTAGAGCCCAGCACAGCTGTTTACATCCTTCCAGGTACCTGCTACAGCTGCCCAGAGCCCTGGCTGGCTGTGGAAGGCCGCCAGGAGTCTGCACACAGCTATACTGGGTTTCAGAGCCCCAGCACCATCTCTGTGGTGGGTACACACACCGCTCACAGGACATGGCAGGGAAGGGACAAGGGCCGCCCAACTCCGGCTGCTTCCCTGCTGTATGCCTACAGGCATGTGCGCAGCAGCCACAGAGCCAGTGCTGGGGTTGCGGAGCCTGGCACAGCTGTTTGCAGCCTTCCAGACACCTGCTAAAGCTGCCCAGAGTCCAGGGCGGCTGTGGAAGGTAGCTGGGAAGCTGCAAACAGCTGTGCTGGGCTCTGGAGCCCCAGAACCACCTCTGTGGTGGTGGCAGGAACACATGTGGGTGCAGTGCATGGTGAGGACAGGGCTGAGGCAGCGAAACCCTGGCTCCTCCCACACTGTCCACCCAGAGGCATGTGTGCAGCCACCACCAGCAATGTGGGTCAGCCTCCCCCATCTCCGACATGCCAAATTGAGGCATGGGTGGAGGTTGGGATGATTTTGGCACTCTATCCAAAAATGTTGCCAACCCGTGATATAGGGATTTTGGGCAACAGTCAACTGAGCCTATCAAATCTATTGTCCTCATTGTATTACTCATTTGAGTTCTGTATTCAGTTTTGCCTTCTGCTTTTCAAGGTGACAGTAAGGTCTGCTTTACAGACTTTAGACAGGACTAACAAGGTTTGGACACCTGCATTGGGAACATCTCAAAAGGGCAGCAACTGTTACATTCTAACTGTTATGTGTGGACAAGCTGAGAGCAATAGAAATGTAGCAAAACTGCTACTGGATGTTTTGCTAGGTTTGTGATCCCAGGTTGTCCACCTGTTACAATTTGAACGTAACAGCTGTTGCTCTTTTGAAACATTCTCTTTTTGAAGTGGCTTCAAATATATGCCAGTCCATACCCATAGTTTTACTTAAATTTGTCTTGCATACCTTCTTGATGCTGAGTAGAGTGGGACTTTCCAACGGAGTTCATTTGAAGGAGCAGCCTCTGTCAGTCATAACTTGAAAGGTCAATTGTTATCGAGACAAAATATAAATGAAGACAAGCTGAGTCGGTAAAGGAAATATTTAAAATGATAAATTAAGTTTATATGAATAGCAGGCACTCTAGCTTTGCAGTTTTGACAGCACAAATCCAAGGTTTATTTTCCAATCTTGCTGTGAAGATTATGATGATGATAAATCCAATGATAGAGTAAACAGCAGAAAGCATTTCAGCAAATAATTCTAACTTCAACAGGACTAATCACATTTTTAACAAATCCTGCAAGGTGCTTGATATTATGAGGTGCTGAAAAACACTGTTGAAGTCGGCGCTCTGTTTCTGGAAGGATTGGCCTATAGTTGTGCGTAAGTTTACAGAATAGGGATCCTATTGTTTGTAAGTCTGATTTACTTAAATATGAAAAACAGCTATTTATGGAAATTAATGTTTTAAATGACTTCTAAGGAGAAAAAGAAAACAGAAAAGAAATTTGGAAGAATAAGATAAGTCTTACTGGATCATAAAGCAGCTACCTCTAATACTTCAAATGGTATCCATATAAGTAATGTCAGATTAAAAGTGTGCATGTGTATGCGCGTATGTACACACACACACACGCATATGGAATCTGATAAGAATTAAATTAGTTACTAAAATAGAAACATGTATTATTTTAGTTCTTTTAGAAGGAGAGAGAGAAGGGAGTCTTATGGCAAAAAGGATCCAACAGTGTAGTGGCAGGGGATATTCTGAATGTTTTTATTTCACCAGGATGTACTTATTCAAGCTGAATGACAATTTCAATCATCAAGAAACTCAATTTTCATCTATATGCAAGAAATACTGATAAGGCAGCAAGGTATGTCCTCCTGCCAGCAAAGATAAATTCACAGACTGATATGGTAATTAATGTGCATGCCCCAAATGGAGACTTTCCATCCTCTTTGTGTGAGTTATTCTTAGACCTAACAGAAGTCCCTAACTGGTGATAGGAGGAGATTTAACCTTACCCTGTCAAACGTAATGGCCAGATTAAAAGTGTTACAAGAAGGGGAATTCCAAGTCAACCCAATTATACACCATCACATGAAATAATTATATTTGGCTACCCTTTGGAGGAACATGTTTTTTAAAGAGAGGTATTTTTATGCACTGCTCTTCTGTGCAGAAAGAGCAATCCTGTTAGACTGAGTTATGTTTGACTTCTGAAAAGCTCACATAACTATAACCTCTGAATATATCTCTAGCCATGCAATGGCAGCATTCTATTTATAGCTAGACAGATAACTAATTCCTTGGAGGAAGTATTCCATTTCTTAACTATCCAGATTTTACAATCTGAGACAAAAGGAAATAAAAGCTGTGTTGAATCCCCTTTAACATAGTGGGAATCCCTTGAAACCTATCTGAGAAACTTTATAATCGTAAAAAATGTAGCTCAAAGGAACTCCACCCCATGAATACAAAAGACTTTACTTGAATAGATTAAAAACATGGTAAGAGAAGAAGAGAGCAAAACTCTACGCATATTAAGTCAGGTAAGAACAAAGTTGCAAAATTGATCAATGGGGGTAAAAGAAGAGCATCTCTTTTCACACTATGCTGCTGCTGAGCCTGTAGGTGAAATAGCTTGATTCTGGCAGACTAGATGGGTATGGGGTATATTAACATATATGGTCTTATTCACATCTACAGTAAGACTCCTTTACTGCTTCTTAGATGCACAAAGGGCCTTAAAGTGGGTATAAATTACTATGCAAATGATTGTAGGACCACTTCAACATCTCATTATATTGCCAGTGTTGCAAATATTCTGTAATGTAGATGAAAATTTGGCCCTTAAATATACAAGTGGTATAATGAAAAGCTAGGCAAAAGCTGAAGTAAACAAGTTGATCTCACAGTTCAGTACAGGGGATACTGAGTTAAAATTTCCAAAAAAGTTAAGCCTTTGGGAAAACAAGGTAGCTTCAGGCTTTACTTCAGAAAGAGAGAATGATGCACATTCTGACACTGAAAATTCTGAAAAAATGTCTACATGAAATATATGCTTCCTTCAATAGTTTTATATCATCTTCCCTTCCCTCTTGTCTGTATAAGATCCTTACACTGGTCTGAAAAACAGTTCCTAAGATAAACCCAAAAAAGGAAAAGAAGTATACTGAGAAATCATGATGCTTTTCTCTTCCTTGGCATAATGACAGGGGTTTCATTCATCTTCAAGTTAAGCTTAAATTTCTTTAAGAAAAACAGTACAATATTAACAAAAATGTAGAAATGAGCAGATGATGAAGTAAATTGATAACCGTCCTCCTTTTTGATAGGCTTTGGCCTTCCAGTATTAGCTTTTATTCTTCTGCTATTTGTCTGTTGTTCCCTGGAATGCCACCCTCAATCTCCTTTCCAACTTTTTTACTAAGCTGGCTTTTACTTCACAGACTTGAGGAAGATCTAACGTTCAAAAGCTTTTCTAACTCTACCCCAATTATACAATTGGTCAAATAAAAAAAAAATCAACCTAAAAAATCCTTGTCTCTTGTAAATTGTTAAGGCATAGGTGAGAATGACCAAAGATAAATTTGTTTGAAAAGTTCAAAATTTAATAAATATGATTGAAAAACAAGAAACAAAAAAACAAAAAAACAAACAAACAAAAAAACCAAAAACCAAAAAAACCCCAAAACAAACAAAAAAAAATATTCCCAGTAGAGAGGAGAATGGTTTGAGGATCCAGAATGTGAAATGTGACACACTATTCCTGGACATGAGAGGAAAGAGGAATGAATGAGGCTTGAGAATTTTCAAAGGGACTGATGTGTTTTCTCTTGCAGCAAATATTAATGGCAACTGTAGAAATGAGATTCTTGATAAATGTCAAGAACTTTCTGACAATATGAAGAATTTATATGCCATTTTAGAAAACAACATTAGAATTAAATGACTGGGCTCATTTGTTCCTGATTTTTCAGGCTAATCTAAAATATGTCCCCTATGGCCTTTTGTGAAAACTGGAGGCAGCAAAAGACCCAAGCCATATTTGAGAGTAGCTGATTCTGGTATGGAGAAAGGTGCTCTGTAAATATTTTGGAGTTTTTTAGGCAACAAGAGGCAAAAATTGATTATGTGCATGAAAATTAGCTTAAAGATTTTCTGTAGTTTTGAATATATTCTCAGCTCACAGCAAAACAGAATATTAGAAAAGAAACACAGAACTGAGAAGAATGACTGGGACTTCTACATGCTAAACAGCAAATAAATAATACAAAAAAATTTCCTAGTGGATACACACTGAGAATCTGGTATTCTCGATTTAGCTAGAAAAATCATTTGTAATGAAATTGAGATCAGAAGAAATGTGAATTTTGCAGAATAGAGTCCAACTTGAAGTTACTGTTGTAGAAATTATCTCGGGTTGTAATGATGGCAATGTGAGAACTCTTATTTATGACTGCTGAAACTGTTAATGAAGAGGTACAGAACAGGCTACTGATTAAGTCTGTTGGTCAAAAAATAAAACGCTATTTGTGAATTGTAATAACAATTTACATATTTTATGTTAATTGTGACTGCAGGTGAAACTCTATGCGTTGGGAAAAAAAATGAGTAAGTTAACCTTGCTTAATGTGTCTTCCCAAAAGCATCACCAAGAGAAAACTCTCCACTTGATGTAAATCAGTTAATTAAATGCAAGAAGATAAAGTAGGATATTGTCTGAATTATGAAACATATCTCAGCAAGGTTTGTGGTTTGATTGTTGATGGAGCTAGTGTTCATTAGTAATACTTTCATATGATAGCTGTTTCTCTGTGGATATCACTATCTAGTAATGGTGATTGGTGTATTTTTGTGATGTTCATAATTAGGGACCTACTGAATTCACGGATGAAATAGAGTGTACGGTGGCTCTTTCAATACTACATGTTCTCCTGTGCACACTTTGCCCCCTGTCTCCCACCCGCTACTGATTAACAGAGGACCCTGCTGCTGCTTCCTGATCAGCAGGGAGGCTAAAACTGTGGTTTTAAACATGGAGCCATTTTTTGCCTCCCTGCCAGCAAACAGCAGGGCCACCTGGGGCCCCTCAGCCAACAAGGGACAGGAAGCAAAAATGGCACCATATTTATGCATACATTTCTGATACACTAGAGGACAAAAAACCTGCCCCACTGGTCAGGCCGCAGCTGGAGTACTGCATCCAGTTCTGGGCGCCACACTTCAGGAGGGATGTGGACAACATGGAGAGGGTCCAGAGGAGGGCCACTCGCATGATCAGGGGGCAGCAGGGCAGGCCCTATGAGGAGAGGTTAAGGGACCTGAACCTGGTCAGCCTCCACAAGAGAAGGCTGAGGCGGGATCTAGTGGCTTGTTACAAACTAGTCAGAGGGCACCAGCAGGCATTGGGGGAGTCCCTGTTCCCCCGAGCACTACCAGGAGTGACAAGAAATAATGGTCACAAGCTGGCAGAGGGTAGATTCAGACTAGACATCAGGAGGTGCTACTTCACTGTCAGGGCAGCTAGGATCTGGAACCAACTTCCCAGTGAAGTGGTGCTGGCTCCTACCCTGGGGGTCTTTAAGAGGAGGCTAGACGAACACCTTGCTGGGGTCGTCTGACCCCAGTATTTTTTCTTGCCATGGCAGGGGGTTGGACTTGATGATCTGTTCAGGTCCCTTCTGACCCTACCAACTATGAAAAAGTGGGGGAATATAACACAGACAAATTTTTTTTCCCACAGGAAAGAGAATTAAACATCTACATTTTTAAAATAAAGGTTGAGCAAGACATTGTCAGATCAGGGCAACAGTTTACTACATTTGGTTTGCTTGTTGCCAACAGCTAAATAGAAATGGTGAAATAAAGCTCATTGAAACTGATGTTAAAATGAGCACGGATTTGATAAATTCAGCAAAAGTAATACAAGTGGGAAGTGATGCTGGCCTAAAGTTTTCGGTGTCAAATGACAAGCATTTTGTATCATTGGCGTCAGTACTGCAACATTATAAATGTTCCCAATTTCATCCATTTATGGATGCTTTACATGAGCAGCTGTATGACAGATTTGGAACTTACAGTACAAATGCCTCCAGTTTTAGACAACTATGCTGCCTATATATTTCAGCAAAACTGAAGGGAATTTGAAAAATCAGGCACGGCTTGCCATATTTAACCTGATGGTGAACATCAGGTCTGAATCTTCACTGTATAATTCTAGTTTTACACTGCTTCAACCCCATCGATTTTTAAAAGAGTTATGTTGGGGTGCCATGGGAGTAAAACAATGGAGAACTGGATCCTGGGTCTAGGACACCTGGCAGTGGAGTAATTACTAGTAGCAAGGGAAGGTATACACAGTGCTGTTATTGAAACTCCAGCTACATGTGACCCTGAGGTCTTTCACACTAGTCATATATTGTTGAGAATATTTGTTTCCTTACTTTCCTTGATCTGTTAGGGAATATTTTCTTTCTCTTGAATAGCTGAAAAAAACTACTGATTGGGATTAAGAATTATTTCAAAAAACTGAATTTGTTGTTGAGTCATTAAGAGTTGATGAAAGACAAAATGCTGTAAAATGCAACTGGCTACACCTTAACACAACAGGATCTGAAAGGCTGTTCCTTATACAAAACTTTTGATAGTACAACATTCACTTTCACACATGTAACTAATTACCATTTGGGGGTCAGGCTAAATGATATGTTCAGGTCCCTCCTGACCCTAGCTACTATAAAACCATATTTTTCCATCATAGCAAAATCTTAACCTCTTCAGGTTACCAGTTCAGGTATACAAATTAGGGCTGTCAAATGATTAAAAAAAATGATCTTGATTAGTTGTGCAATTAATATTAGTTGCAATTAATTGTGATTTTTAATTGTACAGCTAAAAACTCAAAGTTATGCAAAATTATGCAGGTACTTTGTATGATTGGGGGGTGGGATGTGTGTGGGAATTTGTGAAGGTGTGGAGGGTCATGGTGCTATGTGTGGGGTTTAGAGCCTGGGATGGGGTGGTCCCCACATGTCCTGGTAGGATATGGGGTACTGTGGGTCAAGAGGGGCAGCAGTAGAGCTGTGTCTTGGGAGTGAGAGGCAGGGGCAGGGCACAGGCATATCACTCCCTTCCCCCTCACCCTTCATATTATCCCCTCCCCACCACAGGTGTCCCTTTTTTGAAACAAAATATGGTAACCCTACAGGAATGCAGCTTGGTGTACAGAGCAGTGCCCAGCTGTGGAGGAGAAGGGACAGGGGGAGAGGGAAGGAGCAGGGGGCAGATTGAGGCCTCCACGGTGGGGGAGTGGGGCAGGGGTGAATGGGGTCCCAGGACCAGGGTGGGTCGTGCGACGGAGCCGCAGGTGGATCATCCAGGGACGTGGGCAGTGTAGCTTCTTGTCATTGTGTGCACCTCCCAGGAGAGAGGCATGGGGGGCATGTGCCTCCTGGATTTGTGTGCGTGGTGGAGGCAGGCTGCCCAGTGCAGGCTGGGGTTCTGCACCCTGCTGCTATTGCCCCCAGAGCTGTGCACTAGCCATGTTGCGCATCCCCTGCCCGCCAGTGGTGGGAGGCATTACATGACACTGTGCAACTCCCAGGACAAAGGCAGCAGAGTGCAGAGCCCCAGCTCACAGCAGGCAGCCTGCCTTCACCCTGAGCAAAACCTGTGGGGTATGTACCCCCCATGCCTCCTCCAGGGGCGTATGCAGCAGTGGGGACCTGTGCCCTCTATGCGCCCCTGGAAGCGCTGCCCATGGCTCCATCCCACAACCCGCCCTTGCCCTGCTCCCTTCCTCACCATGTGGGCTTTGATTTACTCCTCCCACCCCTTCTCTCTCCCCGCTCTACCTTCTTCTCCACAGACTTACCTGCTGGGTGCTGCTCTACATGCTGCTGGGCTGTGTTCTTGGCTGTATGCATGCTGTGGGTGCTCGTGTCTGTGTCTGTGTGTGCACCCGCCTTCCTGCTGGAGCAGCCTGGAGCCCATGCCTGGGCTGCGCTGCAGCTCCTCTGCACTGCCACCCCTACTCTGTTGGGCAGCTTAGAGGCGATGGTGCGGCAGTGGAACAAAGCCCAGGCATGGGCTCCACAACCATGTGCACAATTAAAGCATTAAAAAAATTAACTTAAGAACCAATTAATACACTAATCACACACATTAACAGTTATTTAATTCATAGCCCTGATACAAATATTTATAGATTTGGGTTAATACTATTGTAATAAGACTTGGCCAGGCCATTTCATCCTGCAGTTTATTTCTTCCCCTTGAACTTTCTCAACCTTAGCTGCATCATCTGAATGGAGAGCTAATTGGCCCCTTCCTACTTTCCTAACTGTAAATAGCTGGGTAGTTTATTTCACCTACTTTTCAGAAAGAAGTAGTAACCAGTCATCCTTTAGGGAAGTTGCTGGGTAGCAACTATATACTGCCATCTTCTGTAATCAGTTTAGAAGTCAGGACAATACTTCAGTTTTCTGGATACAGAAACCCTTTAGAATCTAAGGAACCAAGTTCATCTGTTAAAACACAACTTTATTAATTACGTAGTTTGCTTACAATTCCTCTCAAATGAGCAGGGCTCATCTGATTCAAGGAAAGCCTTGTGGTAGGGATTACTTGAAGGATTAGACCAGAAGAGAGATGAAAGGAAATAATGAATATAAGCGTATCATACACAAAGACCTAAACCAGCCAGTTAGGCACATGAGGATGCATATGTCAGAACATTTACTTGTTGAAATAGCAACTTGAAAGAGGCATTTTTAAAAATTTAATCTAATCTACCAATTTCTGATGGTTTTTTGCAAGGGCTGCAAAGGGTCTGGAAACACAAGAAATATCTCGTGATGGCAGATAAGTGCAAAAATAATGATAAATTTTAGCATGTGTGGCAGTTAAGTAGTCTTGGATGTGGCATAACATCAATGTACTGAACTGCCTGAGCCTATGCAAATGAGAACTTTTTCCTAACTTGCTATATATTAAGAGTCCAAAAAAGACTGTTTTGAAATTATGTAGGTGTTAAAAATCTTCATCAGGAAGCTGGACTTAAACCTTCACTTGTCAAGAGGACTCTAAACTGAATAGTTTGAGAAATCAAAAAATCTGTCTACAATGTAGAGGTCATTCCTTGTACTCTTAAGACATAAGACTATTGCTAACTGAAAGAACTGCACTGAAAAGAGCAAATGCCGGTAGCTTAGTCTTTGTAATAGAGATAATACATTCTTGCATTCAGTTCCTGACTAAATTTAACTGAAGATGCTAGCAAAAGGAAGAGTTGCCTGCAACTGCCCGCTTGATTCAGTGGACCAATATAGTATAATAAAAATGCTGTAAATGTCTTTGATATGGTCTTGTGTTATTTGATGACAAGTAATTAATTGGTATGATGTAACAAAAGCTATAGTTATATTTTACTAAAGGTTGTGTCATATGCTATTTGAAAAAAGAGACTGGGAATATGGTTGCATCTAGCTATTGCACTACTTACCATAACAGCTTTTTTATAGAGAAAAACAAGTAAAACTGTTAAGGGGCAAAACCAAAAAGAAAAAAAAAACTTTTGAAGCATCCCAAATGTCACAAATGTAATCTTGAACAACCCTCTATAACTCTCCTGTGGCCAGAGGCAGCATGCTGTGTGGACAGCCCCCCAAGATTACTCACCTGCCTCACAGGCAACACCAGCAGTGCCTAGCTTCCTTTCCCCTGGGGCTTTTCCCTGTTGTGCAGCTGTAGGAGAGGCAGCTGCAGAGGCTCACAGGCTGTTTTCAAATGCTTACCTAAACTCAAGCGTCAATCTCCAATCAAATGATATGTCTAGTGACATTCATATGGCTCTATTATATATTTCTACAGATAATGGTCTTATACCAATTTTTTTGTTGCTAGTACTGCACCTTGTTTAGATATATAGGATGTAGGGTGGCCATTGATTTGTTGAAATTTATGACATACTCATCTCTACCTACACAGCTGTGTAAGACTCTTACTGTTGATGACGGGCAGTATTTTTTTTGGGACTCCCAAGTTAGAGAAGGCTGCACCATGAAATGATGTAATATCATGACACAAGGAAGTAATCATTAGCATGAATCATGAGCACATTGCACTGTGATTTTCTCCCGCAGTAAAACACAAAAGAATTGACAATCCTGTCAATATAGGGTTTTTTTACATTTATGAGATTGTAATAATATATCTAAAAAAGAAAAAGACGCCAGGATTTCTATAATGAACACTGCAAATCAGGAAATTCAGTTAAAAATAAAATTTAAAGAAACCAAAATACTAATGAATGAGAAGGCATAGTGATGGCCCCCATATATGTAATAACCACAGAATTATGATTAAGGCATTTTAGTATTCGTGGTCCCAAATTAACAGTAGCTGATTTTGAGGCACATAAGACATTTTTCATTTTTGTTTTTTTCTGCTTGTGACAGCCCAACAGGATTAGCCTGATTATAAGGTGCTATATTTTTAAAGGACCCATTTTAAAATGAATGTAAGGTCCTTAATGAATTAGTTCACTTGTAAAATCTAAGGAGTTCTATCCACAAAGAGTTCTGTAATTTTGAGGAGGGCATGCCACACTCTTTATATGGAACTAAGTGACTGAATTCCCACTTTAGGTACAACACTCCGTCTTAATTAAGGAACCAGTGACCTGCTATTCAGATATAGATTAGACAGCAGCCATGCAAGCTTCCTCACACTGCCCACTCTCTCTCTAATGTGTGTCAATACTCCTCTGGAGGATCTACTGGGAAGGATGAGTGGATTGTTTAATTGTCATATCCAGTTTTGTTGGCTGAGACTGCCAACAAAAAAAATAAATAATGAAGTAATTAAGGCTAATGGAGATATTTATTATAACAGAGACTCTTAAAGGAACTGGACTAAAAGTTTATGATTTCTCTCTTATGGATCTCTGAACCACTGAAGTTGGTTGGTCAGTGTGACAGAATAAGTTATATCTGTAGCAAATGACATACTCTATAAATATTAGATATTGAACATGTCTAAATTTTCACAAAGCTGTTGAGTTGCATTCCAGATCCTCTCCAAGAAATGCATTCAACTACTTACTAAAAGAGTGTCACTGAGAAGCCCTCAAGACAGCAATGTGAAACCAATGAACTTATGCGTCTCAGCTGCTGACCATGCTCATGGAACAATGTTTTTTCTAAGTAGTGGCCTGGAGGGATGGGCTAGAGCATTTCTGTGAAGCACATGGTAAGGAAACATGGCAGAAGCTTGAATAATGCCATGTGAAAAAACAATTTTTAGGAGAGGTACTGTGCTGCTTGAACTTCTCTGAAAGAGGTGGATCAGACTTGGGGTGGGTGCCTAAGGACTTCTCTCCTTTTTGAAGGCTAGTAAAACTTTCGTGGTTAAAAAAAAAAAAAATCATTCAATAGGTAAGCATCCCTCTTTTGTACCAAATAATTCCCAAAAAGATTACAGCAGCTACTAGGCCTGTGCGAAGCTGCAAGTATTCGCTTCGGATTTGGCCAATTCAGAGGGGCAGTGATTTGATTAGATTTGGATCACTGTCCTGATTCAATTAGGTTGAATTGGATCCAAAGATTCGGTGCTGCTTTGGAGATTCGGCCATAGACTAAACAGGCAGCAGTCCTCACCACGCTGGACACAGCTGCCTCCAGCTGGTAAGTCTGTTGTGGTGGGCAAAGGGGGGAGGGATTGGGGTTGGGACAAGCTGCCCAGCCGGGGCAGGGGACTCAGGGAGAGAGGTGGTGGGGGGGGGATGGGATGTGGGCACGGCAGAGCTGGGAGCAGAGGCTATGCCCTGCTGCCACTTGCCCAGCCAGGGTGGTGGGGGGCGCGATGCAGGCACGCTTCACTTTGGGTGAAAGGGGGCAAAGGGCAGCAGGGTGTAGCCTCTGCTCCCAGTATTGCTGTGTCTGCATCCCGCTTCCCTTTGCCCCAGCTGGGCAAGTGGCAGCAGTGGCCACATCCTGCTTCCCTCCGCCCCAGCTGGGCAAGCAGTGGCAGTGCCCACCCGCTGGATAAGTGGTGGCAGCACCCACATTCCCCCCCCGCCCAGGCCGGGCAAGTGGCAGCAGCTGGGGCGGGTGCTGCCTTTGCTTGCCCAGCCAGGGTGGGGGGGACGTGGGATACAGGTGCTGCTGCCACTTGCCCAGCTGGGGCGGGGGATGTGGGATGCAGGTGCTGTTGCCGCTTGCCCAACTGGGGTGGGGGAGTGCTGGATGCAGGTGTGGCAGTGCTGGGAGTAGGGGCTCTGCCTTGCTGCCGCTTGCCCCCTTCTGCCCAGAGCAAGCCACCCCTGCCTCGTGTTTTCCCCCTCCCCCGCAAGCTGGGCAAGCAGCAGCAGGGCATAGCTCCTGCTCCCAGCACTGCTGTGCCCACGTCCCATGGTCCTCCACCCAAGCTGGGCAGCTTGTCCCAGCCCCAGTCCCTCTCTCCCCCATACCCCTTTCCTCCCATCCTCTGCCCACCACAACAGGCTTACCAGCTGGAGGCAGCTGTGCCCAGTGTGATGAGGACTGCTGCCTGTTTAGTCTATGGCAAAATCTCTGAAGGGGTGTTGAATCTTTTCTGAATCAATTCAGAGGCTTCCAATTTGATTCAGACCCTTTTAATTGGTCTCCCGATTCAATTTGGATTCAGAGATTCAGCCACTGGATCTCCTCTAAATTGAATTGGCTACCAAAGCTTCACACAACCCTACTAGATACTTGCAGTGCCTACAGAATAAATGGAGCTATGGGAAGGGCTTATAAGTGACGGTGGGATTCACGGATCCCAGGATTCCAGGCCCAGATCCAACTGAAGGACTCAGATAACTAGTCTGATCTTCAAAATATGCTGTAATGACCCAATAACAGTGACAAAACTGTTTCAAGACTGGATGGATTTGGAAGTAAACCGGTGATCATACCATACAGATTATTATTGCCTTTTTCTATCATGCCCTTGCCCTGGGGTGGACCAGTTCACTGCAACACAGCTTTCAGTACTGGGGAGTCCACAGTCGGGCACAGGCAGCAGTAGTGGGGGTCCCTGAGAGCACAGTGCAGCTGGGAGGCACATGGGTGTGGGATGCAGCAGCCAGGGGGAGGATGTGGGACAGGATGGGTAGGAGGTAGAGCAAGGCGGGACTTATGACCCCCGGGGACCGTAGGCCCTGTTGGCGTGGCCTCTGCTACTGTGGCCCAAGGGGCGTATAGCATCTGGCCACTCACAAGTTGAACAGGCCTATTTTATATTATTTCTCCAGGAATGTTCACATGCTATTGCCCTTTTGAATGAAATAACTTTGAGCTCCCTGTTTACATTTACAGGCAGTCCTCAGACTTATGACACAATTGGTTCCTGAAAACTGTATCTTAAGTCGAAACGTTTAACTTGGAACCGATTTTCCCACAGGAAACAATGTTATAAATGGGGGACTGGCTCCTGAACCAAGGCCTGATACCTTATTTTCACCAAAAAATAACCCAGAATTTTGTACTCAATCAATTATAGATGAGTAATATAGCTACATTAATGTATTCATGTTGTAAATAGCAATCACATTGATTTGGAAGGACTTCTTTGAGGAGATGCTGCTGGCCTTTTTTAAGGGCTTTGTTGGACTTTTTGAAGGGTTCTTGGCTGGAGTCTTCCCAGGAGTCTTGGCTGCAGGTTTTTCTGGAGTCTTTTCTGCTTTCTTAAAGAAAGTGTCCAAGGAAGTTTGGACAGCTGTTCTCCAGGGAGATGGGTGCTGCAGCAAACTTGTTCTCTGGCATGGCTTGGCATCAGATCAAGCATTGTAATGTCAAAACTGACATCAGAAAGTTGAAACAGGGTGTCAATTTATAAATGTAAGTGCGAAAGGTTGTAACTCGAAACACTGGAAGTCAAGGACTGCCTGTATTTGTAGGTTTCAGATAGAATCACAGAAAGAAGGCCTGGAAGGGACATGTAAGATCATCAAGTCCGGTCCCCTACTATGGTCAGGAGGTAATGGGCTCCTACGATCTCAACAAGGTGCTTGTTCAGCTTCCTCTTGAATACCGCCAATGATGGCGACTGCACCACCTCTGCGGGAAGTGTGTTCCAGGTTTTGGTTACCCGTACAGAAAAGAAGTTTTTCTGTATGTCTAGCCTAAACTTTTCCCTGACTAGCTTGTGCCCACTGGCCCTTGTCCCCCCCAGGGGGTGCTTTCTGAAAAGTTGCTCTCCCAGATCCTGGTGTTCTCCCTTGACCCATTTGTAGGCGGCTATCAAGTCACCCCTCAGTCTTCTTTTATTTGGACTGAACAAACCCAGGTCCCTCCTCATAAGGCCTATCCCCCAGGCCCTTGATCATGTGGGTGGCCCATCTTTGCACCCTTTCAAGCTTGTCTACATCTTTGAAGTGCGGTGCCCAGAACCGAACCCTGGCTGTGGCCTCATCAACATTAAAAAGAGGGGCAAGGAGCACCTCTATGGATCTTTTGGCAACACATCTCCTGATGCACACCAGAGTTCTATTTGCTCTGTTGGCGACTTCATCACACCGGTGGCTCAGTCACCCTCTGGTCAACTGTTACCCCCAGGTCCCTTTTGGATGCAGTGCCAGCCAATGGATAACCACTCACTGTGTATATATATATATATATATATATATATGGTGAGGGTTCTTTCTACCTAGACAAAGGACCCGGCACTTGTCCCTGTTGAACCTCATCTGATTGTGTTTAGCCCATAGGACCAGCCTGTCAAGGTTGTCTTGGATCTTATGCTTATGGCCAACACTTTTTAAAGAGACTAGTGATCTTCACTTTAGTTAAGATATCTTAAAAGGGCAGTAATCCAAAATGAACTTGTAAATTACTTCATATCTGAAATAGAAGAGCTTAAACTGGCAATAGTAGAGCATTATGTGCTAAATCTAATTTTACAATTACTGCCTGGACAGTTGTTTGGGTGAATTAATAGGGTTTTTTTTTTAGCTTGTATGATGTAGGAAGGCAGAGTAGATAATCGGTGTGGTGCTTTATGACCCTAAAAAAAACTATGATTTGTTGAATGAACAGGGCCTAGTTTATATTGTTCCATATAAATAGAATATTTTTTCTAAAAATGACACCTATATCACTACTCGTTCTTCAAAATATTGGTTTATGTTTGTGTTAGCTGTACTGTAAATATCCTTCTGTAAATATCCTCGGGTACTTGAAACCCAAAGTGAAATACAAAGTGAAATACATTCAAACCAAAACTTTCAGTTGGTGAACCAGAAGAGTAACTGATTTGTTTCAAAACAATTTAAAAATGAGTTGTGTCTGTATTAGAAGATTTTGGGAAGTCTAGCAATGGTGCAAGGCTGCTCTTGCAGCTCCATGAACTGAAGTAATTGTGGAAATACTAATGTTGAAAGGGAGCAGACATTTTTATCGCTTTTAATCCAGCACTGCCCATTCGCCTCAGAAAACCAATTTTCTTGAAGGTGTAATAAAATATGACATTTTCATGGTTGTCATCATCATCATGATTATGAGAAAATGAGGAAATTTGGTGTCTAAGCTGGTAAATTTTCAAAACTGTTTTTCAAGGATGTCTTAACTGGCATTCTGATGAAAAGTTAGAGTGCTTGATTAAGGAAAGAGAACATTTCAAATGACATATGGCTGAAATGTGATAAAAGGAAAAAAGTACTGTATTATATTTGAAAGAACTATAATATGATATGCTATATTTTTCATTATGCTTGAAAAAGAAATAAAGATTAAATAAACGTGGGCTTCAGTCACAACATTTAGATGTCAATTTTCCTAAGTCTCAGGATACTCAATATATGGTTTTGGTTTGGTTCAGTGCACACACAAGGTTTATTTGCATAATTTGGCTCTTTAGTCAAACTTTCCCAAAGTTCAAGCCTGCCTAGATCTGGGATTTGGATTCTGTATTACTTTTTAAAAACTTTCCAAGTTAACAGTCTGGACTTAAGGACAAGATCCTTATTTTCAGGGAGCTGAAATTCACAGCCAGATTCCCAGTGTTCACTTACAAATTTCCAATCCTGATTTATAAATCTCTCTCCCATGTTTATACCAGACAGCTGACAGTAATGCTGTGAACTGCTGGAGCCTCTGAGAACGAGGGGAAAAACAAAGGGAAAAATGTGCTAAAAATGAAGCGTTTGTTTCCCTTTCTACTAATCTCAGTGACTGCAGGAGCTGCCTTCCTCTCTGCACTTCATCAGCAGGCAACCTCTCCATTAGGGAGTAGTTGGTAGTTTTAAACCAGAAGGCAGATAAACTGCAAGTTCCTGGGGAAAGCAAGTTCCTGGCTCTTGATAATCAGCTGGAATCACAGTCCCTTAAGCTTGCCACAGTGGACTACAGTGAGATTGCTGGTGACTCATTTGGAGTGGAACATACCGTGCAGGGTCTGTTACAGCGCCATGTGGCAGGGTAGCTTGATTTAAACTGGAGTAATTTAAATCATGCCCTATCCAGGCAAAGACTTGATTTTAAATGATCATTTAAATTTCACCTTTCCTGTATTGTTCTAAAGAAAGAGGCATTCTCATTGAAAAGAAGAACCATTAAAAATTTAGATTTACTACTAAATAAATCCTTTATACTAGATTTGGTATATCCTTTTGCTTTTGGCACACTATAGCTTGAAACTGTTGTGTAAGCAATTTCATAGCTTACTATTTGTACTGTATATTATTAATATTCCATTTGATTGTTAGAAATGGTGAATTATGTATTGCTTTATTACAAAATTAACTTTTGAACTTATGATTTGTATCTGGTATCTGCACTAGTCTGGTAACTAGAATATAATTAAACAAAACAGCACATAAAATCAGAGCTCAAGTAGGGAGAACCTACAGAATTGGCATACGCAGCCACTCAGTGGTATTCAGTGCATTACCTCAGTGACAGACAAGATTCTTTGGGTAAATCTGTTATCTTTTATTAGACCAACTAGATATCAGATTTACCCAAAGAACCTTGTCTGCCTATGTCCTTAGCCCAACATGGCTACAACCTACACCCAAGTGAGACACTTGATGGTGTTTTCTGGAGTTAGAGGTGAGATCCTAATGCCCATGATGTCTTTGCTACTCTTTTGCACCTCTTGCTGTATTCCTTGGATCCCCTGCAAACCCTTAATATAGTACATGGCCCATTGTGCTGTATTTATAATGTGTGACCTTTAAAAATTAGATCCTTTCCAAATCCCTCTTTATATAGAGAAGCATAGAACATGTAATTCAGTGCTTTTGATAAGAGGACCAACATTATAGAAATACTACTGACTTGAATAATAAATGTATTTTAATTTCTTATTTATGTGTTTAACATGTTTCAAATTCTGGTTTAATTCCAAAGGTTTATTTTTAGAAGAACAATTAAACATTTAAATAACACAATATCCATTAAAAAGATCATTGATTTGTGTAAAAATATTAATAAAGTGACCACATTTATCCTGTTTCTGGCCAAACTTGAGTAAAATAATATAACAAATGACCTACTGGCTTCCTACTGGGCACTGTTACTGCCAGTGCAATATCCAGTCAGCAGCAGACTATAATTGCTCTATCACAGGAAAGGGAAGTACAGCCAGAAATCAGAGAACCAGGGCTCTGAAGAGACGGTAGGGAGCAAGAGCTTGATCCGACATTGAGATGTATGAGCTGGAAGGGTATGACTAAGCAGCAACCTACTGTGGAGGTACATTAAGAAATGCCCTCCAAACAGGGAGACTAAGCAGATGGGCTGGGAACAAGATGAGAGTTGGTGAACAAAGGGATTGGATTATGACCAAGGAGTTGTGTAGGCTACTGTATGATTATTTCAGGGACAGAATGGACTAGGGTGAGTATTTCTGACGGAGAAGTTCCAGTTTCATACAACTGTACCACAATGCCTTTATGGGCTGGCCTAAGATTCGTTGTGTTTATCATCTTTTGTTCGTGATTTTTTAAAGCAGTTGCACTAAGGGAGTATGAACAGTAAACTTGAGGCAACAGCTTAGGAATTGGCTTTGGTAAAAGAGCTGGGCATGTATACATCTGGCAGCCCTACCCAGTACAGCAACTTTCTGTTTTTCTTCAGATGCTGCCCCATCAAAACCTACAGCCCAAAGGATCTTGTTTTTCGAGTGTCTGCAACGCCTGCTGCTGAGCAAACAGGACTCAATGGTGCCCTAAATCTTGGGATCAACAAGGGGTTTTCTGGTGATCTCTTTTACTGGACCAACAGCTTTACTGGTAGAGAAATTAGAGAACTTAAGACACAAGGTGCCTGTCCTTCAGTCTCTTTGGAAGCGTTTGACTTTGCCACAATATTACTAGTATCTCCTTTCTTCTGCCCATTTCTCCTATGCTTCCTTGACCTTCGCAGCTACAACACTACAACTTGGGGCCACGTATACAAAAACACTTGCAGTGACATGCTTGAGCACTTAGTTGGAGGGAGAGAAACATGATTTGTTTTGAAATGTGGTGTCTGGATAAGTATTATTGTAGAATACTAGTCAAAAGCTGGTATCAAACACAACTTCACAAACGAAAATGGCCACGGACTTTTTTTACTGAAAAAACCCCAAATAGCTGCCTGTGTGTGCTTGCTTCTCATCCCACAGGCAGTGAACAGTGCTGCTGGGATGCTCTGTGTTTCCCAGGGTAGGGGGGTGCTTCAGCATGTTCAGCTTACAGAAGAGGTGTTTCAGAGGAGATGTGACAATATCTGAAGGGCTGCTGTAAAGAAGAAGGAAAGCACCTTTTCTTCCTTGCTGCAGAGAGGAGGACATGGACCAGCAAAGCAAATTTAGATTGGATATCCAGTAAAAAAAATTCTTCACTACTGGAACAGGGACGCAGTGGAATAGACTGCCTTGGCAAGGTGTGGACTCTCCATCACTAGAGGTGTTCAAGGAGAGGTTGGACAGCCACTGGTTGGGTTGATCTAGGTGCAGCTATACTTATTTTCTACCATGGGTATTTCTCATTCTTCTGGGCTTTGCTGGTTGCCTGTCTCCCCCGGACATTTCTGCTACATATGGGTGTTTTCAAGCTCCCTCAGAGGTGCTGTGCTGGCCACAGCTAAGACTGGGGACTTAGACTAGGGTGTGCCAATGTTTCTGCTGGGACAAAAGATGGAGGTTCTTGGTTAGAGGGTCTCAGTCTTCTCTTCTAATAAGCCCAGTTTCCTCAGCCTCTCCTAAGTTACATGCCCCAGCAATCTTACCCTTTTTGTTGCCCTCTGCTGGACTCTCTTCAATTTGTCTGCAGTAGCAGGGGCCCAAAATTGAACCCAGTACTCCAGGCGTGGCCTCACCAATGCTGAATAGAGGGGAATAATCACTTTCCTCAATCTATTGGCAATGCTCCTGCTACCTCTTTCAACCCCTGCTTCAGGTAGTTGAAGGCTGCTGTTTAATCCTCCCTCAGCCTTCTCTTTTGCTGACTAAATAAACCCAGCTGAAGCTTGCCCGGCTTTCCCTGTGGCAGGCCAGGGGCAGGTCTGTGCTGTGCCAGGGCCTAAGTATTTAGATAAGGGAGGACTACAGGACTGCTGGGGGGTGCTGACCCTGCCTCAGGCCTGGGGCTTCCCTGCTTGACCTCTTCTGCAGCCCAGGGGAGACCTCTATGCAGCTCTTCCACTGTGGTGGACCGCCTTCACACACACACACACACAGACACACCCCACCCCACTTACAGACAGACAGACACACATCTCACTCACAGAGACGTACACCACTCTGAGACGCACATACTTGAACGGACACACCACTCTCAGACAACAACAACCACAGACATGCACACAACACACCTGCACCCCACACACCCATCCACTCACAGACACACACACACACGCACAGAGACAGACACCAGTCCCAGACACCACTCACACAGACACACTCACAGACGCACAGAGACACCGCACTACACCAGCACCCCACTCACGCCAGACGCACACCCACACCGCGCGCGCGCACACACGTGGGCGGGGCGGCCCCAGCAGAGGCGCTGCCCAGTGCCCGAGTGGGCGGCGCCCCTCTGGCGGCGCGACGCGGTGTGCGTATATATATCCCGGGCCGGGCCACGCCAGGCTACCACGGCCGGTT